TTGTAATTGATCGACTACCTACACAAATCCTTTAGGTAACGGGTCTTCAAAAAAAAACAAATAAAAGGGTGCTCTGATTACGAAAACGTACGTCGAATTATTATTTCTTTATTGGTGAGGATTTTTGACATGACATTTTGACATTACAAAACTCAATTTTTAGGTTAGGAAAAATAAGGCTAAGACATACCTACGTTTATAAACCCATAGCCAACTTTGATTTGTTTTTTTTTTGAAGACCCGTTATATGTATTCACAGGAATGTGTGTTTTCGGGACCTTTGTATCAGTTTTTCGTGAAACTTTGAATGCTGTCAACAAAACTGTGCCACCTTGTTTTGTTCCCAGTGTTGAGATACAGGGTGAAATACTTGAAATAGAAATTATGCCTTTTTGGAGCGGTATCATATTCAGAGACCCTGCAAGATAACGGGTCTTCAAAAAAAAGCAGACAACGTGGAATTATCACCTATACATATATACCAATAAAGCCGTTTAAACATCATTTTGACAACCTAAAAATGAAATGTTTGTAGATATTGTAAATTAGAGACGTGAAAAGGAAAATCCATCAAAATAAATCGGTTTGGTGAAGCTGAAGGAGATGAAATCGACGAAAATATAGTGAGAATCGAGCCAAAAAAGCGAGCAAAAAGGAGAGTGAAAACTGAAAACAGTATTTGGAGGCAATTTATGTTATTAACAAATTAAAATTTAATTTAAACTTGTAGAATAAATAAACAAACCCATTCATAAAAACGTGGAACGGGTTTGTTGATGTTGGCCGAAACAGTTGGGTGATTTATGAATGACTATGCGTATCTAGGTGTTAGCCGGTATATAATCTAAGTATAAACCTATCGAACTTTATATCATTTAAATCACCAAAACCAGAGCTTCCCAATGAGCTGATAATATACAGGGTGTCCCACGGTGAATGGCGTATTAGACGTTTATGGAGAACTAAAAAGCGGATCATTTTGAAAATTTGGCAACCGGGGTAAACAGCCCTGATCTACACTTTAAAAATATTTTTGTTTATGCGGTGTTGCCGCTTCTACTCTAAACCAGTGGCAACAACGCTATTTTAAATGGAATACCCTGTATGTGATTACATATTTTGATTCTACGTAAAATTCTGAGCAGATTTCATGTGATATACCCTATACCTAAGTTCAACTGTTTTGGAATTATTGACAGTTGAAAATTGACTTTTTGCAACTTTGACAGGCTGTAAAACCTGAACGGTTAATTTAAGAGAAAAACCAATTTCACATTCCTATCTTACATTTTCATGAACTATCATTTGACACCAACTTTGAATTTACCCGGAGATTAAATTTAATTGGAATTTTTAATCATGGATTAAATCTGAAGTTGGTATCAAATGATAGTTTATAAAAATCTAAGACAAGAATGTAAAATTGGTTTTTCTCTAAAATTAACCGTTCAGATTTTACAACCTGTCAAAGTTGCAAAAAGTCGATTTTCAACTGTCAATAATTCCAAAACAGTTGAACTTAGGTATAGGGTATATCACATGAAATCTGCTCAGAATTTTACGTAAAATCCAAATATGTAATCAGATACAGGGTGTTCCATTTAAAATAGCGCTGTTGCCACTGGTTTAGGGTAGAAGCGGCAACACCGCATAAACAAAAATATTTTTAAAGTGTAGATTATGGTCGTTTATCCCGGTTGCCAAATTTTCAAAATGATCCGCTTTTTAGTTCTCCATAAACGTCTAATACGCCATCCACCGTGGGACACCCTGTATAGGGTTTCCCATTGAAAAAAACCGGACTTTGGTCAATATTTCGAAGTTGGGGCCAACTAGAAAAAAATTGAGAACGTCACTGAATTCTGCTTAAAAAAGTGCTTCTAGAAAGTTTTTACGGAAATCAATTATTTTCATAAACAAAAAAGTTATAGAGGTTTCACAATATAGCTCAAAATCGAGAATCGCCCTCTAGCGGCTAAACGTTTGAATATATTGAAATGCGGTTTGCACCAATCAAGATTTCATGAAATTTGAGCCCCAGAGTGGGGGGTCCATCTTTTTGTATCTCGCTCAGAAATTGACGTTTCCTATTAAAAGTGTTCAAATTGGCCAACCCTGTACATGCTGGAAATTAAAATAATATCGGTTTTATGCAAAATAAATTAAAATATTAAAAATTTGACCTAATTTTTTAGTATCACCCTGTATCGCTACAAGGTTGGTGCAATGGAAGAAAATGCTTATTTCGACTTCCTAAATATAATACTAAAATTTGAACAAAATCTGTTGGCAGCCGAAATCCATAAGAAATGTGAGAAGCTCTTTAACCCTTTCACTGCGGCGCGCTGTCAGATTGGCATTCCCGTGATACGGCGCTCTCCGTAGTTGACGTTTCTCCAGTGTTGCCGCAGGTGGCCCCATATGGCCAGATCTGGCCCTTTCTAAGACGGAGTGGCCCGTTGGCCACTCTTTTTCGAATCTGGCCCGTTTCTCTATAACAAGCCAAATCATTATTTTTTGATGCAAAATAAACGTTTTTGGGCGTGGCTCCCGAAAAAAAATTCTGTCTCCGGCGGCGCCTGCGGCGAGCTTTCTTTCTTCTTTTTAATTTGATAAGGGTTTGTCCGAATATCTTAAAACTGGCACCTTTTAAATTCATAGTCTGCCATGAAATTTTCAGAGCCTGTGGCAAAAATGCGTTTCTCCCAGCGCGGGCCTTTTCGCGCGCATTCAGGAAGGTGTTAAACCAATAGTTTTTATTATTATTTATATCTAAAAATATGTATAATTTTGTATTTATTTATTTATTTCTTTTCTTTAATTTCGCTTATTTTTTTTTTTGTTCTCAAATAACGACGTTCGTGGGTATACAGGAAATACAATGGGACGCTTCAATATTCAGCCTCCTCTAAAATCCCCTCCTAAAATTGTAAAGGTGTAAATATAACTGAAATTCATATCCAGGCAGGTCTCTGCCACACACCACTACTAAATTAGATGTTAGCAATATGATTGCGACATGTAAACGACAAATAATATATATCAGTGGTTAGCGTTTGTAGCACTAAATTGAAAAACTTATATATAAGTAGTTAGCATTCGGATCACAAAAATCATTTACTTATAAATGAGTGATTAGCAGTGAAAAGGTTAAATGAGTTCAACAATTATATGTACAGTCGCGGCCATTGGAATTGGCACAAACTTCAAAAACGCACCTCGTATTGCATCAAAATCTGACTTTTCTAAGAAGCCGGTAATGCCAAAATTTTGTCAAAGTGATAAGTCAGTGGCGAACTAGAACCGTTTTATTAGGTTTTTAAATAAGATTGAAAAAAGAAGTACCATATTTTAACCAACGATGAAAAAGCGAAAGCAATTCTAATGATTTCACGAGGGAAACCTATATGTCCAGTCGCCTTAACCCTTGGTTGTGGAAGTAGTATTATCATAAATTTGAAGGAAAAATGGGTTGAAACTGCTTCTATCACGAACCTACAACGAGGATGACGACCGAGACAATTTGACAAGAGGATGAATCTCTTCTTGATGAGGTCGTTTCATATCCATTTATTTCGGAAATTAGAGCCAAAGAATTGAGTAGTTTCCCAGCTTCAGTTAGAACTGTGCGAAGGCGTATTAAGGAAACTGGATTTAAATGTCATGAGAAATACATAAATAGGAGATGTAATGCTGCCATTTGCTAATGAACGCTTTGGAGATAATTTTACGTTCCAGCATGTAAGATCATGTTAAGAGCGAAAATATTTGGGCCTACCTTACAAAAAAAATTTAAAATACAGAATTTAGACCTGCTTCGAAACAAGATTTAAAACAGTGCAAAATCAATTAATGGTATGCTTCAACAGTATTAACAGACAACTACAATTTTCGTAATTCAATTTACTCAATGCCACGAAGATTGCAAGCTGTAGTTGATAAAAATGGAGGTAATACCAAAAATATTAAAAAAATTTGTAAGGAGTTAGTTTTCACTAGGCTAGATATAAAAGGATTTTTTTTATTTTTTAGTTGGGGTCCAAACAATGACATTGGGTCCAAAATTGAACTTGGTAGACATAACATTACACAGGCCACTGACCACTTTTGTTGGTTACAGTTTTTGTCAGATTTTGATACAATACGAGGTGCGTTTTTAAAGTTTGTGCCAATTCCAATGGCCGCGACTGTACCTATCCTTTATTTTTTTTATAGCGTAGTAGAGGACGAAAATTGTTTCTAGATAGTGAGTTGTGTAATGATTTACCAATGAAAAATTCGGCATCCTCGCATTTTCCGGAAAGTGACGTCACATTCCGAGCCCGCGTTTCCGCAGCAGTTTAAAAAATTGATTTTCAAATCGTTCAAAGTATAGAGATGTGATCAGAATGACTATCACAATAATTCATTTTTTTTTTTGAAAAATGTGAAAGTGGCCTATCGCATTGTAAATTTGTAATACATACAGTGCCATCTGCATATTATGATAAATCGCCCTCCCTGTGCATGCATCGTGAGGAAGAACTCCATTGAGTTTATGTTTTTTGTATTTCAGAATTTACTTTCGTACTATATTAAGTACCTTCAAAAAAACCTTGATAGGATGGTACTCTTATCACCTTTTTGGATTACCTAGTTAGTTAGCACTACTTTGAAATAAAATTAATTGAATTCTGAACATGAAGACTCTTTTCAATAAATCAATATTAATCTGTCAATTGTCATTATTACATTAGTATTTTTTTTTCACAGTAACTGTTCAATGTTGCCAAGGAAAGTGACATTTAATTAATATTTACTGTTTATTATGTGTGTGTCTCCGCTTTCGCAAAAATAAATTTCCAATGTCAATCCTCTAAGTGACTCTATCTCATTTTATACGATATTTGACAAGAGAATATCCTCTTAAAATTTGTTGTTAATTCTATCTGAACTATTTCTCAAAATCAATTTGATGCCCACAACGTTTTTCCCCTAAAAGTATTATTGAGATAACTTACATTTGATTGCGAATATATTCTTTTAGAGTGGGTCCGTCTAAATTTAAATAGTTATTACTGTTAAAGTAGTAAGTACCCATATATGGCACAACAAAGTTTTGACCATCCAAAGAACCACCGAACTTGGAAAACTGCAACACAATTATTATTCAATTTACTTAATGGCTATTTCTTATACATACCTGTGAGAAATTTCCACTATTTTCCAAAGACTCTGCATCATTCGCACCTCGGTTATTTCTGGTAAATTTTCCCATTCGCCCCCCTCTTGATCTCCAACGTCCCCGAGCTAGTTCAGAAGCAGGTCTAGCTTGTCTATGATTTTGTTGGTTAAGGCTCTCTGCCCTCCAGTCTCTATCTCCATCACTAACTGTTGATTGAACATCTCCTTAAATATAAAAAATTTAATTAACGAGAGAGAAAAACAACCAACTATACCCCAACATTATTGTCAGTGCAATGCCAGCGGCAGTAATTTTGGAGTTAGGGTATACAGATATAAAAAGTCGAACTGTGCACTAAACCTAGTCATTATATACAAAATTAATTACTGTTGTTGTATGGCATGTTCAAAAAGAGTCTTTTATGCTTTTTCGAATGGTTTCTAGTAAAAAAATACCAGTGCACTTACCAGGCCGATGGTCGACATTATTATTGTGATTGTTCCGTCGGCGGTCATTTTTGTGGGCTCTGGTCAGATCGATTTCCAAAGGAACCCATTTGTGTTTTGAATTTTTCCTCTTATCATCTGTTGTCTGTTGCAGTTCGCTTGCAGTTTGCGGTTTTTCATTTGAAGCAGGTGAGGCTGCAGGACTGAAAGACCTTCTCTGCTGTAAAACAAAACACTAATTACAAAGAAAATTTGTGGAAATTAAAGTCAAAGGAAAATTGAAAAAGTTGGGGTTTGTGCAGGATTTGAACCTGCGACCTCCGCATTGCTAGTACGACACTCTACCAACTGAGCTAACAAGCCCGCCTGGTAGAGATCGGCGAATACATGATCACTTTCATTCTCCTCCCACTCACCCCAAACGTTTTTCAATTTTCCAATGGCTCACGAATGTGGCATCGGTCCTGCTAGGGTAAGTCACCTATACCACTATGTGCAGGTTTCGTCCACGATGTGTTGAAATTTCTTATGTACGCCATGCGACGAACAAAGGGAGAATTTTTGTCGGTTATAGGTACCGAAACTAGTTTTACAAAGAAAATTTGTGGAAATTAAAGTCAAAGGAAAATTGAAAAAGTTGGGGTTTGTGCAGGATTTGAACCTGCGACCTCCGCATTGCTAGTACGACACTCTACCAACTGAGCTAACAAGCCCGCCTGGTAGAGATCGGCGAATACATGATCACTTTCATTCTCCTCCTCAAATCCTGCACAAACCCCAACTTTTTCAATTTTCCTTTGACTTTAATTTCCACAAATTTTCTTTGTAAAACTAGTTTCGGTACCTATAACCGACAAAAATTCTCCCTTTGTAAAACACTAATTGTTCGTTTCTAATTTGGTAAGACACTTGATTTATTAAGAGGGCTATTTAATGAAATTAATTGGCAAAAAAAAATATTATATAATATTACCTACCTCACGTACCTTTTTGGGTGGTTCAGTTTTTAAAGGAGGTGGTTGTGTCGCCTATAAAAAAAACCAAAGTGATTATAAAACTGGAGTATAAAATACATCCTAATGTTATAAACCTTTCGAGAGTTATTGGCTCGAGTAGCTTCAGAAAAAATATAGAAGGTGGGACTTTAACTGGAACTAATTCGCTAGTCTTTGTATGAAATATGTGGACAAAACGCGAAAACACGTCGATTGAGACTTTTTGCAGGCTCTCCAGTCGCTTAAAAAAAAATCACCCCCTTAAAAGGAGGACACATTTTATGGTCCATCTTTTTTTCAATTTGTGATTTTTATGGACGTTTTTTTTTCAGTTAAAAATTTACTAGCACACCAAAATGAAAAATAAATTGCACAGCCGATTTTCTTGCGAATCAAACTAGCTTTCCAAAAAGGTGCCACAAGTGGTATCATCTACCTAATTTAAAAAAAAATAATAATTGAGGTAAGGTTTCACCCTTTGAATAGCCTGCAAAAAATCTTAATCGACGTGTTTTTGCGTTTTGTACACATATTTTATCCAAAGGCTCTAGCAAATTAGTTCAAGTTTAATTTTCCACCCTGAAGAGGTATTTAAAATGTGAAACTAAACTGCTGGACACTCAAACTTTCACATATACAGATTTTCAGACAGAATTCAAAGTTTTGTGCGGTTTGTGGATTTTAATAGCCTGTTTTTTTTCCGGATAAAGCTTGCCGTAAATTTCTCATAGGACCATAGGATTATGATATGATAAACGGGGCGATAAAATTGAATTTCGCCTAAAAATCTGTATTTGTAAGTTCAGGTGTCCAGCAGTATACAAAAAAAAAAGGCTTCAACAAAAGTCAAGCAAAAAGTGAGGGATTTATATTTTATGACCGAGAGTCTTGTCTACAATTCAAGTTGAAGGATGAAATAAATCTCAGCTTCTTTGGACAATTTAATTGAAAATTCAAATCAATTAAGCCAGAGATTCGACACTGATTTGTATGATGTGTCACCTTCAGAGCCAGATTCTTATGGTTTGATAAGTCGTCAATCTATTTCATTTAATAAACCAACCAATTGCATCTATTTCCTGACTAGTGAGTTTTATTTCTGAAATGAGTATTTCGACAGTGTATTGTATGTGATCTTTAAAGTAAAAATAATAATAATATTATTCTTTATTGCCAAAAAAAAATTGCAAAAGCAACACAAGCAACGTCACAAAACGCTGATCCAAGCAGCTAGTATCAGTACCGATAATAATCAATGGTTAGGATATAGGATATCACTAAAAATAGAAAAAAATCAGTTGGCACACAGTGCTAAACTAGACTAAAATACATAAGTGAATTTTTTTTTTTGATACCTACACAATTAAATAACAAACAGTACTAAAATGTAAATTTATTTATCAAGTCATATTTTTTGTTGAAACATCAAGTTTTAATTAAATTATTGTCTAATTTTGGAGAAAATGGGCGTTCAAGTGTTGCTGAAAAATTTAACCAAAAAGAAAATAAAGAAAAATATGGCTGCTTTGCACAAAGTTACCTATTAATGCTTTTTAGTCAGAACTTGGGTCTTGAGTTACACGCTAACCTTCTGGTGTTACACAATTCCTAGGTTTTTTAAATGAATGCGAAATTTTGTTACACCACTACGCACTCGACTACGCATTTTTTCCGAGAATTTTTCTATTTAGTGACTCGCCGTGACACGTCGTGTCAACCCTATCTATTTGTGAACTTTGTGCCGGCATTGCGTTTGAATTTTTGAAAACTTACTTTTTATAAGACTTTGGCGTGACGGAGGTACAGGATGAGGTAGCGCCAATAACAATAATACGGTAAACACATAATGAAAAAATATTAGCAGAGGCGTTAGCTGGTATATGTTCGTGTTCTAATGTCAAGCATTGTAGAGCAAGCGTTTGGAAAAAAAAATGCAAAGAATTGTAAATCCATTTTGAAAAATGTTTAGGGGGTATGACCCAAAAATGAAAGTTTTAGTGCAAAAAAATCGAAGATTTAATTCGCATCTTGCTACAATGGTCCGTTTTCGAGTTAGGGCAGTTTAAAGTTACAACTAGGTGTTTGTGACGTCACAATGGATTATCAGGGACAGTATTAACACGTGTAAGAATTTTCCAAAACAAAAGACAATAATTATCTCCTAGAGCGAATTGCAACCACTCAAAGTATAGGGTACGGTTCACTGACGACTGAACGAACAGAAGACTGCGATTTCGGCGGTTGTGACATCACAAGTTCCTGCATAGTTTATCTTCCCAAGGAATTTTCTCGGACACTATTTTGAATATAGGACTGCGGTTTTCACGAGAGATCTTAGAATTTTTTTCTTCATTTAAGTAGCCTAAGTCGTTTTTTAGGGTCACACCCCCTGTAAGGAAATTGAATTAACTGTCTCCCAAAACAGTTTAAAATTGGACCAATTCCTAAAAAAATCAGGTTCAGCTGAAACATTTTTTTTACCTAGTAACAAAATAATAAAGCATGGAAATAATGATAAAGTCACCACACCCAACCTAATGATCTTGTGTGAATAAGGGGAGAAAGTGGTGAACAGGGGAAGAAAGTGGTGAATAATTTGTAATAAAGCTACACAGAGCCTACATGCGCCTTTTTGAATAAATCTTAGGAAAAATTTCTACTTTGTGTCAGAAAAAAGTTCACTAGGTTTCTAAAAACAAAGTTCCTATAATGACAATGTGTTAAGCCTAGTCCAGACCTACATACATTTGCCTGCCAACATTTAAACATTTGTATAAAAACTGTTTACTTAAAAACTGTATAAAAGCTGTTCAAAATGTGTTTGCAAACATTTGAACAAATTTTTAAAGTTTTTTGTTTTCCGTCAGGATGGGAAACTTTGTTTTTATACTCGCTTTTGAAGCAAGTCTGGACGCGTTCAGAGCAAATGTTTGTTGTTTTAAGCAAATACCCGCCACTGCCTCGCTATTCACTGACATGTTTTTGCCTTTAGTCTGGACGCAGTTGCTACCTCGTTCAAAAACTAACAGCCGTAGGCAACAACCTCTTTCAACTTGAAAGCGCTTTTTAAAACTGGTCACTTTTAAAAATTGGTATTGCTCAGGATAATTTTTTTAAAAAGTGACCAGTTTTAAAAACCGCTTTCAAGTTAAAAGAGGATTTTGCATACGGCTGTAAATGCTTTGAAACAAAACACCTACACACCACAAATGTATAAATGTTTCCAAACATTTGTTTGTGGGCAGTGTATGTAGGTCTGGACTGGACATTTCATTCTATTACATTAAAATTGGCCTGTAAGATACTGACTTGCCAGACCTGTATAATATATACACTAGCAATCAGAAATATCTCTGTATGGTCGTACACCAAGGAAACATCAAATATGCAACGTGCGACATGAAGTAAATACCGCAGGTAGACTTGTGCCGCATATATCCAATGTAAAAACGTACATGTTCTCGGGATCATCGCACATAGGTGCCACTGTGCTTAGCAACCTAGCCGCATGTGATTTTCTGTGCATATGTATACAGTGTGATTTTTTAAGTGTGCAACATATGGGAAATTTTTTTAGTAATAGCACAACCCAAATACAAACAAGGCCAAAAGTTGGTGCATGTCTGATAATCATATTAGGTGCACTTAGAATAGTTGCAAGTCAAACAGCATACAGGGTAGGTCAAACATTATCCAAATTATACTGTGAAGTACCCTTATTTTGGAAAATTCAGCAAAATGTTATAGAGAAAAGTTATTTGGAATTAAAAGTTATGCCTAAATACCAAAACATAGCCTTCGAAAAAAATCTATAATTTCTATATTTTTTTTATTTTTTATTTCCGCCCTTAATACTTTCAAAAATTAATTAAAATCAAATCAATTTTACATAACTTTGTTCAAATTCAAGCATATTTGTAAAATTAACTTAGATTTTTAATTTTTTATGGAATCACAAAATTCATGTTTGTTGCAATGATATTCAACACAACTTTAAAATATTGCAATTTTTTTTTAACAAGTTAAAACATTACTAATGATAATAGCCATATTAAAAAAACCCTCCTTGAAGTGCAAAATTTTTATTTTATTTAAGTAAATATTTATACAATTTTGATATTTTTTGAGCTACCCTGTATGCTGTTTGACTTGCAACCATTCTAAGTGCACCTAATATGATTATCAGACATGCACCAACTTTTGGCCTTGTTTGTCTTTTGATTGTGCTATTACTAAAAAAAATCCCATATGTTGCACACTTAAGTAATGACACTGTATATTTACTTCATGTCGCATATTGCATGTATGATGTTTCCTTGGTGTACGACCGCACTAGATAAAAAAATACTATCAGAAAGATCTCAAACACATATCGGGGGATTGTAGGGGGAACCAGAATGAGACACTTTTTGAGTCACCCCGCCTCACCCCTTAGGGGGTAGCTACCCTGACTTTTTTTTTTTTTTAATACGAACCTACCTTGGGTTGCACATCGTTGGATAGCTTCTTGCTTTTCCTATACGGTCTTACAGCAAAATCTTAAACCATACAATTAGTTCTTGAGATATCGGTGTTCAAAAGTGAGTAACATTTTTGGAAACTAGTAATGTTGACTATCTCTTAGACAAAAGAATTCTGTTATAAGAGTATTGAATAGACCTAGATGAAGCCAAATGATGTGTTTATCGTGATTCTATATGCTTCTGCACGCCTCTAAAGAGGAATAAAAAAACCTTTCAAAGGAGGTATCACACGAGGTGGGTTCTCATTCTAGAAAAAAATCATATTAGGGGCAATAAGTTCCTGAGACAAGAGGGGTGGGGGTTAGGCAATAAACACATTATTTGGTTTCCCCGAATTGTATTTGAGACTTTTATGACAGAATTCTTTTGTCTAAGAGAAAGTCAAAATTCTAGTTTTCAAAAATGTCGCTTACTTTCAAACACCGATATCTCAAAAACTAGTACAAGACTGTGAAGGGAAAGCAACGAGCTATCCAACGATGTGCAAAACAAGGTAGGTTCGTATTAAAA